ATTAAAAAGACATGGGCGATGGAAATATAGAACGATAGTAGAGGGATATACAGGTGTCCTAGTTAAACCTACGCGGCCTCTAATGTCTTGAGAACGGATATAGATATTGAAATTCTGTAAACGCCATTATGTTTAGCTTGAAGGGTGAAGCTTAATTTGGTACATTGTAAATAGGACGCATAGGTCGCGCCAGTTCAAACATTCGATAAAATAACTGCTTTGTTGTTTAGAAAATAAAGCGTGAGTACTTTATTTCACTCAACTTTCGTTTTATTATTTTTATAAATTTTATTTTTTTTGCCGAAAAAAATCTAAGTGTTAATATAAATGTAATCGTAATCTATTGCTCAATTAAAATCCGTTAGAAACACCGACACTTATACGTCGTATTTGAAATGTACTAAATGAAGCTTCCCCTTCAAGCTACATTCAATGGCGTTTACAGAATTTCAATATCTGTATCCATTCTCAAGATATTAGGCCGCAGAGTTTTAACTGGGACACTGAGAGCAAGAATATTGTTTGTCAAATTCTTTCCATATCCGTGGCCTCGACGAATGCATCTATCTACTGTTTCCGCACCTGCTGCTGCCACATACGTAGGAGAGATCGCCAGCAAACCTATCCTTCAAGGTGCTTCAATGTCCAATTGCAGTAATTATACTATAAATATTTAGATAAAACCTTGAAATAAAATATATCCTGGACTGACTTTTATGAACAATTTTACTTCGAACATTGGTGGCAGAAAATGGCACTTTTAACGTTTCATGACAGACGTCAAAACCCTACTTTTAACAGTATTTGTATCAAATTTTAGTAGATTATGATATTAAAATAAAAGTGCAAGATTTTTTGACAAGTAATTGATTGTATTTGTGAGTGTTGAGTTTGTGAAATTTTCATAAAAATGAGTTCAAATGAAGATTTAAATATAGTCTGTCAGATACTATAAGGTTACATGGCCCCACTAAACTTAATAATGGGATGTTATAATTCCTTTTGTGTGGCTGGTTACCCGTTCAATCCAAGTGTCGTAAATCAAGGATTTGTCTCAATATCTTGCCACCTTAATATCTACTGCTGGGTAATCAGCTTAAACATTTATGGTACATTAAACCAACACAAACACAATTTACAACTGTGGGTTTGCCTTATTAACTTCTCCATTGTCATCTTCATAATACCTTAATTTTACAACAGCCATATAACCTTGTAGTATCTGACAGACTATACCTGCAGATATATTGGACTGTGCAAAAAAGTTTCTTTCAATTTGCCTTCACCAAAGTCTCGTAGAATGTATGAATTTGCCTACAGAATTTCATTGATTGGTGCAAAGAAAAAAGTTGTCAATCTTACACAGACGATGTTCTTATGGTACATTTTTCGAATTTGGGTTTTCCTAGTACGGAAATGTTTATTTAACATTTCTCACTCAGTTCTTGTAGTAAATGAATTTTGTATGGATAATAAATATTATTCCCGTTTGAGTATTTTTCGAACTGAGCCTCTACTCATATTGTGGTTTAATGTCAATTGCTGCACTGAAGTTTTTGGGTTTTCAGTTACATCTAACATGATATTAAAAGAGTTCTCGTCATTTGTAACATTTTTTGATCTTCCGATGCGATGGCGATTTCTAACATTACCGGTTTCGTTAAATCTACACAATGTTAAAAAAGTGTGTTACAGTTATGAATCCAGAAAAAAATTCTTCTATTCAAAAATTGACGATTTGACTATTAGTGCTGTTGAAAAAAAATCAAGTTAGCCAGAAAACACAGCTTGAGTATTTTTAAGTATAGCTCAAATTTCAAGAAGATCCAACTAACCGTTCCCAAGATATTCAACTGTTTCGTACTTTTTAGCAAGCCTGTATAATTAATAATTTTGACAAATCTGGCGCGAAATTTCGAATAATTCAAAAACGACAAAAAAAAAATGTCAAATTGACAACATTTTTTTGAATAAATAATCAGCTTATTCCTAGTTTGAATAAGCTAGGGCGACAAGGTGTAGTGGTTTTGGACAATGCACCGAGTGATACAATTTTCTAAAGTGATTGTAGCGAAAGATTACGCTCAGCCAGTATACTTACTCTTCTTTGTTTTCAAATTTTAACCTATTTATCGTTATTGCAGCAAAGATGAATTTCAAAAATGATTTATGTAAAATTGGAAGAAGCAAGTTTTCAAATCACGAACTATAAAAATTCTAATTATTTGCTTTTTTTATTCGTACTGACAGTGTTGGATACGTATAAAACCAATAAACTGTACCTATGATCTTAAACAGAGTAATGAAACATCAAATAAATTAGCAAATGATAAAGATTCGTTAACAGCCAAGTTTATCTTACCATCTTATAAAGGAAATCTAACTTTGGCAACTTTTGTGACATTAAATGATTGAATTCATAACCTCATTTTTAAAGCCGTTTTTAAACTAAAAAAATGCCAAATGCCCAAATAGATTGTGAATAGCGTTATGTAGCCATCTAAGTACACAGATTGACAGCTGCATAAAATGAGTAAATACCTCTGTGTATACTTTAGAGATTATAATAAAGTTCCCTATTATAAAAAAAGGCTTACTTAAATAAAACGACTTACTTTCACAACTCATCAGTCATCAGTTCATCACACTACTATCTATAAAGCTATAAAAAAATGGAACAAATGTTCATAATTACTAATTAGCTTTCACTCATGTGCATCCGGAAAAAACACTGCAACATAATAGATTTTTTTTAAACTTCCCATCACAATCCACTTAATTAAACTTTCAATACCCCCGACACCGGTACTCCATATGTGTTAATTCATGTAATTAATAGTTACCTGCTCCATTCGAATTCCAGTGTCCCTACACAATTAGCAGTCTAAATATCATTCCAAATACATATTCTGTCACAGTTTCACATTTTTCATATTCTAAGTCCTTACACAACAGTTTGCCCACCGTATTTTGTATTACATAAGGATATACAGAGTGTTGATAAAGTTCAACAACATTCATAATTCCGTTAAACTTTTTTCTACGACCATTTAACTAATAAAAATATCTATTAAAATCCGAAAGAAGTTGGGGCTGCCGCTTAAAAAAAATCGTTGATAACGTCACTGTGCTAAATGGCTGGTTACGAAAAATACATTTTTATGTCAGAAAATGTCGCAAATTTGATTAATTAACGGGGTTATGAATTTTATTTGGACCTTATGAACATTCTGTATAATATTTTTTATTTAACAAAAATCTGTATAGTGAGGTATTTAATATTACATTTCTCGATTGAGTCAGTTCAACTAATTATTCAAATATGGAAATTTGATAAAAATAAAACATAAAAATATTATACTGGCAGCAATGCTTGGTATGTCAATTCATAGCTGTCAATTTCAATTTGACAATCAGGTATGCCACTATAACATTTTGAATGCTGCCAACTTAACACAAAAATCCCATACATTGATTGAAATAATTTCTAAACAGTAACCGAACTTTTTTGTCAATTTTACCAGTTGTAACCACAGTTGACTTTCTATCAAATTACAATGTTTTCTGTATTACTTTCAATCGCATGATTATGATTAAACTGATACGTTTTTAGAACAGATTACGTCGAACTCCTGGGAGTCATTTCAATAATTGCACTATAACCTAAGATCCTAATAAATTGATTGCTCTAGGAATTGAACATTTTAATAAGTGTCTATTAATAACTACGCCTTCATTACAACTATTATTTGTTCTGATATGGAAAAGTTGTACGCAGTTTCAAGCCGAGACCCAAAGTAGGATGGTAACCAAGGGTGTAAAGATTTACGAGAAAGGATGTAAAAGTAAACATAATATAACTATACTGATTAATAAAAAAGTACACCGTGTTAAAAACGCCAAAGTAGTGTTAAATAATTTAAATGAAACAAAATAGCTCCCCATTTAATTACATTTTTAAACCACGTTTATTCTGGCACAGTTTTACAATTTCCAAGAACATTTCAACTTCTTGTATTTTTAGGCAAAAACATTCTTAGTCAATCAACTATTAGAAATCGTCACAGACGACAGATGGACAGACGGAAATGGGAGACCTATTTTTTCATATCTAGAGGCCATAAAACTTCGACAAAACAAACTTCCGGGAAGTAAAAATATCAAAGACGAAATAACTTCTACAACAGTAATCAAACTTTTCGGAATTTTAAAGTACACAAGATAAAAAAAGTGACTGACTTTCTATAAAATTACAGGGTCGATTTCTTTCCATATAGTTTCTGTATGGTTTTCATCGCATGATTATAACTAAACGATACGTTTTTAGAATATATTTAGATTGCGTCAGACTCCTGGGAGTCATTTCAGTAATTAGACTGTACCTTAAGGTCCTCTTTATTGCTCTAGTAAATTGATTATTTTAATTAGATTCGACTTACTAATGAATACGCCTGGAATAATAGTTATTGTTATTAGTTGTCATTTAAAAACCCTGGTCTCAATTTAAAGTAGAGAACAAGGATTTGAATATAAAAGTAAACATAACATAATTTTAGTGATTAATGAAAAAAGTTACGTCGTGTCAAAGACGCTGAAACAGTATTAAGTAATTTTTTCAGGGTCAGTATTTCATAACATCACGATTACAACATGTTCTACTAGTGTGATCGAATCTTATACCGTATAATCTCCATAAAGATATTTATTACAAGTTGAGCAAAATAAAAAGTGACAAGCAAACCGGTCTTGTTTTAAGGTGCTAAAAGATGCATATCATTGACACAATAAATTAAATGTTCTATTTGAATAACTGTTTGATACGTTACTTTTTCTACTTCTCGTATATTGTTCTTGAAATTTGGGCTATATTTTCTATTGTTTTTTAATTCAAAAAATACTCAAACGGGAAAAATATCATACATAAAAAATTCATTTAAAGAATTGAATGAGAATGACTTGACTTGGACAAATACTTGACAACTATGAAAACCCAAATTTACCTGCAGAGTCGATCTGGTTCCAGAAAGATGGAGCATCACCTCACTTCGGACGTCAAGTGCGGCATTACTTGAATGAAACTTTTCCTGGAAGGTGGATAAGACGAAGGGGACAAGTTGAGTGGCCAGCTAGGTCACCCGATTTAAACCCACTTGACTTTTTTCTATGAGATTCTGTCAAAAACCGAGTTTATATTACAGACCACAAAGCATGGAAGAACTCCAAGAAAGCATATTAAATTTATTTGAAAACTTTGTACAACGTATTTACTATTGCCAGGAAGTAAATGGAGAGCATTTCGAACATTTGTTGTAAAATTATTGTTTTTTAAATGTTATTTGATCTTTTTTCAGTAATGTAATTTTTTATTTAAATTTTTCAAACAACTTTCATAACAATGGATTCACTGTTGACAATCATTAAATCGGAGTATTGTTATCTATACTTCTATACTTATATTATAAAGCTGAAGTGTTTGTTTAATTGAACGCGCTACTCTCAGAAACTACTGGTTCGAATTCAAAAAATCTTTTTGTGTTGGATAGTCCATTTATCGTATCTACAAATAGGCTATATAACATCACGCTACGATCAATAGGAGCGAAGTAGCAATGAAAAATTCGGAAAAACGGGAAAATTATTCCTCCTTTGACAGCTTCCGTTGCTTACGCTGCTTAAACGGTTAAAGTTACGTAAAAATCATGTATGACGAATTTGTTCCGTATAACCTTTTTTATGGTAATGAAATTTGTTCTAAAATAATAATGCATCTATAGTCTTTACCATTTCTATTGAAACACCACTTGTTGATCGTAAATTTGGCAACCTTCATATTCACACAATTTTCTAACTAAAAGCCGTTGTCAATCAACCGAAAACTGTTAGCAATTGCTAAATTTTAGGCAAAATCAACAGGTGGTCTTTCAATAGAAATGGCAAAAACTATCTATATAAATAAAAATGAATCGCCGAAATGTATGTACGTGCATCACTTCAGAACGACTGCACCAAATTGGATGATTCTTTTTTTTTATGTGTTCCTCATTGTCAGGGCAAGGTTTTTGTGTAAGAAAATTTATAAAAAAATGAACAGCTAAAAAATAAAACATTCTACAAATTTTGTATGGGAATCACCACTTCGAATTAATTTCAATAGTTGGCGTTCCTGACGGACCTATCGTCTAACTGACGTGTCATACAAAACTATTTCTTCCGTGCGATTGTGAAAAGTATATTGCATTTCAAATCGTTCTTTGTTTTTTCGTAAAAAAAAAAGTCGTTTATTTTAAGAAAAGTCTTGGTTAAAGTGAATTTAGTTACACATTGCGAAAGTTTCTTATTAATTTTGATCTGCCATTCTATTTACCTGTATTCGCTTTGTTGGTTTCGACAAAACCTCAAACTTTACCGTTATTCGAGGATTTAATTCGAAGTTTTCAATATTTTAAAAATTCTCAAGACAAAATTTACAGATTTGATTGACTGTGACTGTGTCGTTTTATGAAGTTCATTACAATGCCGAGAAGACGACAAGCTGACATAGCTCCACCAAGTCAATCAAATGTGCGACGAACTACCTCAGGTGCAAACCGCAATCATTTATTTCATGGGTAATTCGGATAAGGAAGTTGATCAGCGTTGTGCTCATAATCAACATAATCAAACATTGAAGCGAGACATTGGGTGCTATGAATAAAACTGAGTAGATACTCATATTCGAAGTACGAAGTACCTACTTCATTATTACTCTTATATACCTGAGGATCTACTTTATTTACTGAGTACCTACTTGGAAACATTTTATCTCCCCGGACACAAATTGAACATCTACGCGTTTTGTGAGCATTTAATCTAATAATGAGCATCGGCGTGGCAAATGACTGAGCTGTCTGTAAAGCAGCTTAGAAAACGAGTAGAATCGTTGTAAGAGTGAATTTTGACTAAACATGGCGACTTTCATGAACGTGGAACGTCGTCAAAAGGCGCATTCACTTTGAAAAATACATTAGGAGCGGGAATATCGAAAACTTTAGTAATTAACTTTTATTTATGCATAATTTGCGCAGTGCGTTCTTTCTAACACTGGCCATAGAGATTCCCATCTCAAGGTGTCTTCCCCATACTAACTTATATGTATTTTGGTGACTCGATTTTTGTCCTGATGGTTGAACACTGTCACTGTTTTCCTTTTTTGTTGTATCGAGATGCTACTTGAGCATCAACTGTTACCTACTGAAGTATTAGCATCATCTAGAAAAACTAGAAATATTTTGATTTGATATTATTCGAGTAGATACTTCGTATTTCGAGTTTGAGCATCTACTGAGTTTGATTTATATCAACCATTGTCAAAAAATTGATCGAACGTTGTTTCGACAGAACTTCCTTCGCACCAAAAGTATAATGAAACATATTCAGCATTTTCGAGTTGAGTCTTTTCTTCACACAATTTTGTGATGACCTAATCAACATTTACGATCAACACGTATACCACCTTGGATTGGTGCAGTGTAATACTAAAAATAACTGTATTGTATTATCTGCGAAAATCGAGTGAGCCGTTCCGTCAATTTTTTGGGGGGAATAAATAAATATTCTAAACAATTTACCATGCTTACAATAACTTTAAAACGTCTGCAAGATCTCCAACTTTTGAGTTATTCAATAAAATAAATTGACTGATCCATACATTTTTTTGAGTCACTGTAAAAGCAAATAAAAAAAATAAGAATGCAATGATAAATTACGAAAATATACTGATAATATTTTGCACATTTTAGGTAGGATTTATTCGGCAAAATCTTGAGATGACGTGATCAAGTTTTTGGACTTAATAAACAGATATATTTTGATTAAAAACCTACCATGTCAAACAGTAACTTCAAAACGTCTGCAATAATTCAAAATTCAGTTTTGCAATTCTTGATTCAATCAATAAAATAAATTGACTCAGTGATTAATTTTTTTGAAACACCCCCTATAAGCAAAACTAAAAAATATGAATGGAATGATAAATCACAAGTATAGTCTCATCCTATTTTAGACATTTTAGATAGGATTCATTTGTCAAAATTTTGGGTTGACGTCATCAATTTTTTGGAGGAGATAAGTAAATATATTTTGAATAAAAATTTATTATGCTTATCATGTGTTTAAAACATTTGCAAGATTTCAAAGCATTCGGTTTTGCAGATTCAAAATTAAATTGTAGGTGAAACGAAGTTCACGGGGTCAGCTAGTTTCTAGAATATATTCTTTGTAAATTATTTGGAAACATTATTACAATGATTGGTCACTTGTATAGTTTTTGAATAAGTGTCCTACGCTAGGACTATGACAGGTGATTGTATTGTCAAGGCTAGCTATGATTTTCTGATTTTAGTATTTTGATTTTAACAATTTAACAATTTATTTTATCATATTTGGAAAAAATAAAATAAGCCATTTCTGAATTAAGAAAAAAAATGCACTATTTAAAAAAAAATCAACAAACCGTTCTCGCGATATTAAACTGCTCCCTTCAACCCTGTATAATGTAGAAACGTTAAATAAAAGCGTAAAGAACAGTTGTATTCCAACGTTGTGGACAAAATACTTCTACTAATACTAATAATGATAAAAATATTGTCATTTTTGCTAAGTAAAATATTCTTGACTTGATCGATATGACTGTATATGAATTTATATTTATAGTAAACCAAATGCCTAAAAAATATTTGCCACTATACTTATAGCTACATAACTATACATATACCGGTACATATCTGCACACAACTGACAGCTGCAGCTGCAGGTGGAACCATAGAAACCGTAATAGAGATATTTCAAAAAAGGCATTATATAAACGAGATGACTTTCACAACTTTTCATATCTACTGTCCATTAGACCATAAAAAATGGAACAAATGTTCATAATGAGTTTTCACTGATGTGCACACACAAAAAAAAAACAATGCTACAACATAGTTATGCAAATTTTCCCATTGCACCCCACTCAATTAAACTTTCAACCCCCATTACATCAAACTTGACAACGTGTTAATTCATCTAATTAATAGTTACCTGCTCCATTCGAACATTCACACTGACCGGTGTCCCTACACTAGCAGTCTAAAAATCGTTCCACATACTCTGGCACAATTTTACATTTTCCACGAACATTTCAACCCCTTATATTTTTGTGCGAGAACATTTTTAGCGAATCAAGTTACCATTTTGGCCACCGTTATTGCACCACAACGTATCGCCGCCTACTAAGAAGAAAGACGTTCGTGCCAGCGAGGCGACGGCCAGTGGAATGCCTGAATCATCAGCGTGGCAGTATCGTGCCAGACAAGGATGGAAGGTTTGCTGGTGAACCGACAGCAAGAATGGATAAGGTCGAACCGTCCGTGGAAAACAAGGAGGGAAACGGTCTTTGTTGGCGTCGGTATTTTCACAGGGTGGATGTCGCCGACGCAGGCGCCACGGCCGCCCCCGATGTGACTGCTTGGCCCAGATATACACCACTGAACTGGAGAAATCTATAGAACGATGATATGTCTTTATATTTAGGTATTTCTCTTTGGACGAGTTTATTTCGGCATGAACTAGGAACCACATATTCCCGATAACTCGGATAAAGCGCAGGTGAAAATTTTAAAAATGGTTCACAGAATTTGACTATACTGGAAAATGTGTTCCAATTTTATACAACATGCAGTAATTTAATTGGTTTTTAAGTTAATTTGGTCAGTTAATAAAGTTGAGTAATTTACAAAACACACAATCATCAGTTTAAAATATAGGATCGATAAAAGCACTAATGGAGAATTTGAATACTTTGACACTGTTTTTTTTTTTCAAAATTTTTGAGTTATTCTATAAAATAAAATTGTGTTATCATTACTGTAATAGACTGCTTGATCTTGCTTTAGCTACGTTAGGTGTGCTCATCAGTCAGTAATAATAATAATAATAATAATAATAATAGTGATAATCATTATTAAATACGAAGACCTAAAAATACACAGACAATTAAATAAACACAACACGAAACTCTAAATTAAATTTAAAAAATTAACATGTATTCAGACATTACGAATAAATTGAAATAAATTACATTTAAACGTCGAAAACGACGAAAGTTCTTGGTAGGAATTGATAACATATCATAACAAACAAAATTCTTACAAAATAGAGATGCATTCTTTTGCGATAGTTGACTTTGAAATAGTCTGCTAAGGGTGCATTTAATATTTCATACAGGGTTATGTTGAAATCATAATAATCCAATGGATTTTTTTCGAGAAAGTTATTTTTATGTTTTCGAAACATGATGTTCTACTTTGTATGAAATTTTAAATGTTTTTAATGACAATTGTTGTGGTTATTTTCGATACATTGTATATTAACTCAAAGAAAAAAAAATGAAAAATTAAAATAATCGAAAATTTGAAAAATCGAAAACCTGAAAAATCGAAAACCTGAAAAATCTAAACAAAAAAATGGTAAAACCGAAAAATTGAAAAATCGAAAAATGTAAAATTAACAAAAATCCAAAAATTGAGAAATAGAAATATCGAAGAACTGACAATGGAAACATCGAAACATCAAAAATTCAAAAATCTAAAATTTAAAAACCGAAAAACGAGAAATTGAAACCCCAACATTTAAAACATCAAAAAAATCGGATAATTGAAAAATCGAAACATGGAAAAACTGGATAATTTAAAAATCGAAAAATCTAAAAGCGGAAAAATAGAAAAACAATCGAAAAGTTATAAATTGAAAAGCTGATGAATCAAGAAACTGAACAATCAAAATATCGAAACATCCAAATCTCGATAAATCGGGAAATCAAAACATTCAGAAATAGAAAAATTAAAAAATCGAAAATTTGAAGAAACAAAAAATTTAAAACACAAAATCTAAAACTAGGAAGTGGAAACACTTGAAAAATTTTAAACCTGAAATGAAAAATCGAGAAACCGAAAAATCTAAAATTTTTAAGACCGAAAAATTAAAATATCAAAAGATTGAAAAATCTAAAATTGAAAAATCGACACATCGAAAAATATAGAAGTCAAAAATCGGAAAGTCGAAGAATCGAAATATTGAAAAATCCCAAAACTGAAATAGCGAAAAACCAAAAAATGAAAGAAAAACTGAAAAATCCTAAAACTGAAATATCCAAATCTGAGACTCTCAAATATTGAAAAACTGAGAAATCGAAACATCAAAAAAGTGAAGTCGAAAAATCGAAACCTTAAAAAAAAATCGAAAAATTGCAAATTCAAAAACCTGAAAAACTGAGAAATCTAAAAATCGAAAAACCAAGATGTCAAGAAATCGAAACAAAAAAATCGTAAAACTGAAAAACTGAAAAATTGAAAAAAGAAAAACTAAAACCAGGAAGTAGAAAAATCGAAAGATTTTAAAAATTCGAAAACATGAAAAATTGAAATATCGATAAACTGAAATATATAATTGAGAAAGCAAAAAATATAACATTTTAAAAATTGAAAAATTAAAATATCAAAAAATTTAAAAATCTAAAATTTAAAAATCCAAAAATTGAAAAATCGACACATCGAAAAACCCAGAAGTCAAAAATCAGAAAGTCGAAGAATCGAAATATTGAAATATCCCAAAACTGAGATAGCGAAAAACCGAAAAATGAAAGAAAAACTGAAGAATGGAAAAACTGAAAAATCCTAGAACTGAAATATCCAAAACTGTGAATCTCAAATATTGAAAAATTGAAAAATCAAAACATCAAAAAAGTGAAGTCGAAAAGTCGAAATCTTAAAAAAAATCGAAAAATTGCAAATTCAAAAACTTCAAAAATTGAGAAATCTAAAAATCAAAAAACCAAGATGTCAAGAAATCGAAACATAAAAAAATCGTAAAACTGAAAAATTGAAAAAAAGAAAAACTAAAACTGGGAAGTAGAAAAATCGAAAGATTTGAAAAATTCGAAAACATGAAAAATTGAAATATCGAGGAACTGAAATATAAAATTGAGAAAGCAAAAAATATAAAATTTTAAAAATTAAAAAATTAAAATATCAAAAAATTGAAAAATCTAAAATTTAAACATCCAAAAATTGAAAAATCGACACATCGAAAAATCCAGAAGTCAAAAATCAGAAAGTCGAAGAATCGAAATATTGAAAAATCCCAAAACTGAATAGCGAAAAACCGAAAAATTAAAGAAAAACTGAAGAATGGAAAAACTGAAAAATCCTAGAACTGAAATGTCCAAAACTGAGAATCTCAAATATTGAAAAATTGAGAAATCGAAACATCAAAAAAGTGAAGTCGAAAAATCGAAATCTTAAAAAAATCGAAAAATTGCAAATTCAAAAACCTCAAAAATTGAGAAATCTAAAAATCAAAAAAACCAAGATGTCAAGAAATCGAAACAAAAAAATCGTAAAACTGAAAAATTGAAAAAAAGAAAAACTAAAACTGGGAAGTCGAAAAATCGAAAGATTTGAAAAATTCGAAAACATGAAAAATTGAAATATCGATAAACTGAAATATATAATTGAGAAAGCAAAAAATATAACATTTTAAAAATTGAAAAATTAAAATATCAAAAAATTGAAAAATCTAAAATTTAAAAATCCAAAAATTGAAAAATCGACACATCGAAAAACCCAGAAGTCAAAAATCAGAAAGTCGAAGAATCGAAATATTGAAATATCCCAAAACTGAGATAGCGAAAAACCGAAAAATGAAAGAAAAACTGAAGAATGGAAAAACTGAAAAATCCTAGAACTGAAATATCCAAAACTGTGAATCTCAAATATTGAAAAATTGAAAAATCAAAACATCAAAAAAGTGAAGTCGAAAAGTCGAAATCTTAAAAAAAATCGAAAAATTGCAAATTCAAAAACTTCAAAAATTGAGAAATCTAAAAATCAAAAAACCAAGATGTCAAGAAATCGAAACATAAAAAAATCGTAAAACTGAAAAATTGAAAAAAAGAAAAACTAAAACTGGGAAGTAGAAAAATCGAAAGATTTGAAAAATTCGAAAACATGAAAAATTGAAATATCGAGGAACTGAAATATAAAATTGAGAAAGCAAAAAATATAAAATTTTAAAAATTAAAAAATTAAAATTTCAAAAAATTGAAAAATCTAAAATTTAAACATCCAAAAATTGAAAAATCGACACATCGAAAAATCCAGAAGTCAAAAATCAGAAAGTCGAAGAATCGAAATATTGAAAAATCCCAAAACTGAATAGCGAAAAACCGAAAAATTAAAGAAAAACTGAAGAATGGAAAAACTGAAAAATCCTAGAACTGAAATGTCCAAAACTGAGAATCTCAAATATTGAAAAATTGAGAAATCGAAACATCAAAAAAGTGAAGTCGAAAAATCGAAATCTTAAAAAAATCGAAAAATTGCAAATTCAAAAACCTCAAAAATTGAGAAATCTAAAAATCAAAAAAACCAAGATGTCAAGAAATCGAAACAAAAAAATCGTAAAACTGAAAAATTGAAAAAAAGAAAAACTAAAACTGGGAAGTCGAAAAATCGAAAGATTTGAAAAATTCGAAAACATGAAAAATTGAAATATCGATAAACTGAAATATATAATTGAGAAAGCAAAAAATATAACATTTTAAAAATTGAAAAATTAAAATATCAAAAAATTGAAAAATCTAAAATTTAAAAATCCAAAAATTGAAAAATCGACACATCGAAAAACCCAGAAGTCAAAAATCAGAAAGTCGAAGAATCGAAATATTGAAATATCCCAAAACTGAGATAGCGAAAAACCGAAAAATGAAAGAAAAACTGAAGAATGGAAAAACTGAAAAATCCTAGAACTGAAATATCCAAAACTGTGAATCTCAAATATTGAAAAATTGAAAAATCAAAACATCAAAAAAGTGAAGTCGAAAAGTCGAAATCTTAAAAAAAATCGAAAAATTGCAAATTCAAAAACTTCAAAAATTGAGAAATCTAAAAATCAAAAAACCAAGATGTCAAGAAATCGAAACATAAAAAAATCGTAAAACTGAAAAATTGAAAAAAAGAAAAACTAAAACTGGGAAGTAGAAAAATCGAAAGATTTGAAAAATTCGAAAACATGAAAAATTGAAATATCGAGGAACTGAAATATAAAATTGAGAAAGCAAAAAATATAAAATTTTAAAAATTAAAAAATTAAAATTTCAAAAAATTGAAAAATCTAAAATTTAAACATCCAAAAATTGAAAAATCGACACATCGAAAAATCCAGAAGTCAAAAATCAGAAAGTCGAAGAATCGAAATATTGAAAAATCCCAAAACTGAAATA